AGCCACAGTGAGCATGCCCAACATATCACAGCTGCACTATAAAAACACCTGTGATGGGTACTGTCATTGATTTAGGAAGCTGGTGAATGCTGCTTGTGGATGGTAGTGACTGACTCTAATGCTGGTTTTAGTTTTGTTTGGTAACAGCCAACTTTACTTTAGGGGCTTGGCCACTTGATTGTGCCCATGACCCCATGGCAGCAAGAAGATATGGATCTCAGGGTGAAGGCCAAGCTAAGGGCACCTTCCTGCTCTCCTTGCTCAGTAGCAATGAGCGTAGTTTGAGGACACATCAAGTATTGATAGCTATGTGGCTGGTAACTGCCCTTGCTTTCAGTGCCCCAGCCCTGCAAGCTGGAGAACAACAAAGCAAGGGAAAAGAGATGTACTGAGCAGCAGAGGCTGCTTTTCAGGCCTGTACAGTGCAGAGTTGTTGCCAGTCACGCTGAAGGATAACAGTGACCTTTCAGTGCGGCAAACTATGTATAGTACTGATGTAGAGTCCCCTGGGTTCTCTAAGCTTGCACAGTTAAGCCAGTTAGCAATGATACAGCCAAGAGGTTACATAGTACCAGAAAAGAAAGTGTATTAGTTGTCTACCAGTGCTTAGGTTAGATGTTTCTTAATGCCCAGCCAGGCTCCTATTAGACACCACCTGATGCCTGGCTTGTAATTAATCTCCTCTTGGCATCCGTGTGCTTCCACTTAAACTGCATTCAGTAATCAGTGAAGCCTGAGCTGCAATCGGGAGCCTTTGCCTAGAAAATTACCTCTGGAAAGGAGACTCAAACCTCGAATGCACCTCTTGAAGACGCAAGACAAGAAGGAATCCAAGGTAAGAGTTGCTACTGTTTATGTTTTATGTATATAATCTGTCAACACTTTGGCTGAAGTATGTCAGGGTTATTTGTAATACAGAGTTCAAGCCACAGTCCTCAAGGAGGTGGCAAACACTTCAAGCCTTGAACAGCCACTGTTGCTGACTGCTCAGCTGTGAAGGGGTTGATTTCGCCCTTTCAGCTGACTAGTTGTAAAAAATGCTAGAAGCTAGCTAGCTGTAGCGATGGACCTGTGAGCTTGGCAGGAGGTCCTTTCTTTGTGGTTAAGCACTGACTGTGTTGGCTGTCCCAGAGCTGGGTTGCCTGGATCTCTGTTTCTAGTCTGACACTACTTTGTTTGACGAAGTTTTACTATTGGCTTGTGGGCTTTTAATGCCATATGCAGCAGCTGAAATCTGTTTTGTGCAGAGATGGGTCTCACACTGCTCATGTAGACATCTCCTAATTACATATGGTTGTTGTTGGTTAAAAGTTATTTTTAAACATTTTCTTCTCCTTAATTAATAATAACATGGTAAAAGAGAATAATGTGCATATCTGAGTCTGATTTAAGAGTACTGTTGGCCTGGATTGCCTACTTCCAACCTTTGAATTCTTGTTTGTGGTTAAAGGAATAAGAGAACAGATTACCACTACACTTTTTCATAGCAATCTCATGGCCATGTTCGTCAAATCCAAAATCCATCTAGAATAGCAGCAGGTGTAAACCTCAGTCCCTTTCTATTTTGTTGTGCTTTGTGAGGGAGATGACTCCCAATCTTTCTTGCCCTTCATATTTAATGGATACATGATGCCTGTTTCTTACGGCCTAGTCAAAATTTCTAGTTACAGGTCTGAAATTGTTCAGCATTAAATACTGCTTGTCTGTTGTGCAAACTGAAGTCCTGCAGTGCTAGGTCAAAAACAGCTCAGTAACTTTATTGTAACTTCTCTTTAATTAGTTTGTCTGTATATACATGCTAGCCACAGGCTATAGGTAGGCAATTAGGCTCCCCCTTTGCAGAGTAGCTGGCAAAAGCACGTTCTTCACTCTCTGGGAACAGCTGCTTGTGTGTGAACCCACCCAGAGCCAGAGCACTAGCAGTATCACTAAAGAGGTACTCTGCTTATTGTGAGTGTGCTATGAAACAGGAGTTAACTTGACAAACACACAACTTTGTTTGCCACTGCATGTTGCTTGGCACCTCCTTGCCAAAAAATGGTAGTCAAAAATGAAAATGGAGGCTTATCAGAAGTGTTTGTCCAAAAATAATTTACACGAAAAATGTTGGAGTTTAGTTTAAGAATGCCTCCTACTGGAAGGGGCCCCATCTCAGTTTCACATCTTACCTGAGAATGAAATGATTACTTGAATGCTTCAGTTTTGTTGCCCAAGTGTTACCAAACTGGAGGGAAACATTTTTTATTTAAGCAATATTATTAAGGCAGTAACCTACATTTGACCTTCCTGCTTTTCCTACTGACCGGGGGGGTGGATGACACTTAAAATGTGGGTGTACTCAGAGAGTGTGGGTATTTCTTGATATCTCTGTTCTATTTCTGACAAGTGCTGCCACACTGATAGGGCAAACTGCCTAGATATGGCTTGGTAACTACTTATCAGCCAAATTCTTCAACATAAACCAGAGGAATCGTGAGAAAACATTGCTGCTGCTTTTTCATTTCCTGAACAGTCTGGAGTTGGCATGTGGGACCCACGTGCTATGACACTGGGTAGATTTTGAAATATCTATAGCCTCTTGCACTTACAACAGTATTTACTTGACAGAAGAAGAGATAGGTAGAAAGGAAACCAGTTTTCTGAGTTTAACAGCAAAAATATGAAATTATTTGATGGGGTAGAAACAGCAGTCACTATTCCACTAGCTGTCTGTCAGTGATGTAGGCCATGTGGTACACGTAAGCAAAGATGATCTGTAACAGGATTTCAGGGTAACCAGGGCTGTGTACTGCACTGTCTTGTGTGAGGCTGTCTGGGCCCCCAGAGAAGTGAGTAGTCTTAGCAAAATCTGTGTGTCGCACATAATTAGAAGAGATGCATCTCTTTAATGGTTTATTTTTGACTCTTTAATTAAGATGATCTGCAAAATATCTACCTAAATTTATTTAAGTATTTGTTGGTTTATTACAGTTCTCTTTGTGGAAGACTGAGTGTTCAAGAAGCAAATATATTAAATCTCTCATACGTTAGATTTCCTCTCATGCTGTACATAACGAGCAATGTTGTAGTTGTCTCTGACAGCTACCATTTACAGTGCGGTGGCCTAGTTGAAGGCTGTTGTGGACCATCTTTCTATCGCTGTTCAATTCAGATGTGGTCACAGAAACCTGTCGTTAATATCTTCAGCCTGAATGAGCACTACTGTTTATATAATCTAGTGCCTTAAATGCCATTCAAGTTCCTGCAGTTCCTCTGAACCTGTGCTAATGCAAGGTACTAAGAGCCTTTCAGCAATGATGCAGATGTGCTGCATAGTAACTTGGGGAAGTGTAGGAAGGACAAGTGTGCCTGTGCAAAGGACTGCAGGGAACTAAAGAAAAAGGGCCTGCAGCAACTTTTTTTCCATTCTTGAAGCAAGAAATTAGAATAAGGTACTGCAAGTGCCTCTGACCTTCATTCTGTTTCATTTAAGGAATAATTGCATTGACCATTATGGCTTTTTCTTCTGTGTAGATTTCTCTTTGTCTTTCCTGCTGTGTTTTAGCTAACAGTTCCTCCCGCTCTGCCTCTTGGGTAGCAATTTGATTCATTTTCATTGACTTGGTTCAGTTTTAAGACCTGAAACCTTGACAAACAAGGTCATTCTGCCCCCAGAAATAGCGCACTCTGCTTCAGATTAAATCACCAATTCTTATTTTTTTCTAACCATCTCAAAATACTGAAAAGGAAGGAGTGGCAGAATGCATCTATTGATCCCTTGGTAAGTATAGTGGCAGTTGGAAACATTCTTAAATACTAAACTAGAAAGACTGATAGAGCTGAAATCTGTGAAATACAGTGAACCTGCACAGTGTGATTTCTCTGAAGAGGGTTTGTTGAAGAACAAGCACATTAAATGTGCCTGGAAAGGAACCAGGACATGTCTATGCCAGCAAACCCCAAGGTGCAGAGGCTGTAGATAGCAGTTAGAGATGGCCTGCGTGCAGAAGAGAAGGAGAGGATCAGCCAGGTGGACAGAGGAGTTGAAAGGAGAATGCACTGATGACACGGGTATGCAGATTGCATGAGGAGGTAATCGGCACTTCTCTCTTGTGCTCAGAGGAGAGGGATCAGGAGCACTGCTGGAGGCTTTGCTTATTTGTTGGTTTTGTTGTTGTTTTTTTAAACATGAAAAATCCCAGGGAGGTGTCAAGGAAGACATCCAACCAAAGCAAAACCAAGCCTTGGGCTTGTCTGTCCTTATTTTGCTGCCCCAGAATCCAGTGCAAATCAGAGCCATGGATAGCATGGATTTCATTGTATTAGGAGATGGCTGTGATGGGGAGTGCCTTATGTTTTCTTACTACTGATGTATCTCAGTTCTTCAGGTGCTCCTCTCTAGTTGCATTCATTGTTTTTCATATTTTCATCAGTGACTGACAAAGAACAGTGGAGGGTTCCCCACCTCTTTTGTTGGTTACCCATGTGCTGTGAGGGGAACTTGAAAGGGGGGCTGTTAAAAAGAACTTGAGAGAGCTTCTTCCTTGCTTTCTACAGCTAAGACCCTGCGACATCAAAGCTATCTGCTTTCTGATGTGCTTTCCACCCCACTGTCAAAAATGCTTGCACAGCCTGTGCAGTGAGAGGAGAGAATCCATGGCAGAGAACGTGGCTGCTGTGACCATGAGGGTGGCTCACAGGCTGGCTGGAGGCGGTCCTCTGTCCTGGAGAAACAGCACTTTCTTCCTTGATCTTTTTCCTTTAGTGCAGTTAAGTTCTGGGCAGGATTTTCCTCCCAGATTCACCAAGCTTTGCGACACTGATGGCAGCACAGTGTGCTGAGGGTAGGAAGAACTGTGGTAAGAAATGCAAATCTTAATCTCTCTGAGGTGAAGACGGTTTTTGCAGACAGTATAGGCCAGGAGGTGCTGGGATGGGGCAGGAGGAAGGAAGAGGAAAGCATGGTCAGTTGGTTATTTCCTGACTGGTAATTGTAGAAGACAGTATTATGGGTTGCCCTTGGTCAGCTGAAGCAGACCTTGTGTGCTGTTTGTTTTCAGTAATAGAATACTTTTAAAGTCTGAGGACTGGGGCTTCTTTTCATCAAAGCTTTTCGAGATAAGACCCTGGCACAAAGCCTCGCTGCCCATTCCTTTCTGCTGTCCACCAGCCATCCTCGTTTTCTTCAATGACAACTACAATGTCTCCTTCACTGATGTCCAGTTCATCCATGTTCTGAAAGGAGACAGGGAAAGGAGATGTGGTTAGCCTGAGAGCACAGGAGGGCCCAAGCATGTATCTGGTGGGTGTGTTTTACCCTGCCTTTCATCAGCAGCCTGCCTGTGCCCTTCGGGTTGGGAATGAGCCTGAGATACCAGACAATGAGGGATTAAGTACTTACTGAGCTGGCTATTTCTTTAAGATCCTCAAATTTCCCCAGTCTACGTGGTGTCTCCTCCCGAGCAACTTGACTGTTGTATCATTGGGTAAGGCCAGAAAGGGTTAAATACGACTGTCCTAAACCAGCTAACCATGACCCTTTTGTAGTCTGCAGGTGTTGCTAAATAAAACAATGCACAGCTTAATTCCCAAGGGAGATAAAAACAGTGTCTCTACTAATCCAGGCCTTAAATAGGTCTCTCAGTTCTTTTAATACAGGACGGCAGTGACCAGTGGAGGTACAGTGACTCTTCCTGAGATAGGTAACTTTTATCTCTGAGACAAATGGAGTAGTTGCAAGTGAGCTATCGCTGAGCTATCAGGTGGCTATCAGTCCGTTCAATGGTGCTGTCCTATTTTCCATAGGAAACCACTTTGCTACCTGCAGTGTAGTAAAATAGAAAACAGGGTAAGAGAGGCTTCCAGATATGTCTGATGCATCAGCTAAATCTAAATTTAATGTACCTGAGTAGGTAAGAACGGACTCGAAAAGTGAGAGGCCTCAATATACAATATACTGAAAGTAGTAACAGGCTCTTTTCTCAGCAGGGAAAATCTGTGTGTGTCATATTTTTAAGGCAACTCCTGGACTAAAGATCTGACAAAGGGATCCAGCAATCCCCTCAGGAGTACTGCCATTAACAGTGAGGTACTTTCAGCTGCGCTTGGATGAAATTTCAGGCAAATAATAGAAGAGGGTCTAAAACAAAGCAAAACAAAGAACATATAAAAGGTGTCAGAATGCTGCTGTACCTAAGAGAAAGCGCTCCTTTCCAGTCCTTTCTCTGTTTTCATAATTTATCTGGCTATCTGATTTTGTCACATGCCAGCATTTTTTCTATGTTGGCTATTGATGGCAGGTCCCTTGGTGTGAGGGTCTGTCTGCACTGTAACATAAGACCTCCTGGATGCTTCTCCTGCTAATCTAAAGCTGATAAAAGGAACCTTTAAAATGCCATGTAATTAAATTGTGAAAGTCCCATTAAGGGAGGCTAATGGTTTCGCTAGAGTCCAACAGGTTCTGGAGTCCATCTGAACAAGAAAATATTCACAACCAGTCCATTCATAACCTTTTACTAATGGCACTATGCCTACGTAGGTCTGAAGCCAGTGAGAGTTCAATATCCCAGTTAAGGATGCAGGTTGTTCTTTATAATAATCTTTTGGTACATGGACCATGTCCACTGTAATTCTGTGACTTGCAACACAGAAGTACAGGGTAACAGTGTCATTTATGGGGATTCAGTCCTCTCCAGCATGGAGAGCACCTCAGTTGAAGCTGGTGTGTTAAACTGGAGCAGGACTCTCCAGACGATAAGTCAGATCAAATGGAGAGGAGTTCCTAGTTAAGCACCTGTCACACATTCTTACACGAGGGATCTGTAGCCATTTTCCTTAGGAGAACATTTCACAAGAGATCTAAGTTCAGAATGCACAATACTGCGTACTTAGCCATCATCCCCTAAAAAATAAAGTTTGCTTGTGTTTGCGGTCTACTGTATCTCTAGAAGGAGGTTGTAACAGCTCAGCACTAATTTAGAAGGGGTATAGCATGCTAATGTGTAATCACTTGCAAAAAATGTTATTGTTTCATCCTGAGGCAACATGGTCTAGTGATGTGCGCCAAGAACTGGCAGTTGGGATTCCTGGCTTCTGCGTGTGACCTTGACCAATAATTCTCTAAGCGTCCCTGGCTGTAAAGTGAAGATAACACCTCCTTCACAGAATTAACACTTTCAAGATGTTTGGATCAACATCATCTATTTTAAATCTGACACTATGAAATATTTATTTTGAAGCCTTTTGTTACCTGGGCTGTGTAGTCATAAAGTACTCTGTAGTCCTGTGATGATGTGATTCCAGCGTGTTCATTTACAAAAATGGATGCGTAGACACCGTCTGTTTTCTCTGCTAAGGGGGGAGGAAACAAACCACACACAGAAACAAAGAGTTCAGTTGCTTATAAATGCATGGGATCATATGCAAGAGTTCACAAATAAAAAGGTTTCTGTTCTCTCTCTGTCTGGAGATGTACATGTATAGAAAAGCTGCTGTGAACTGTAGGTAAAGTCTTGCACAAAAACTGTGTCCCATTGGTTAGATGACAATACACCCACTGAACTTTGTGGGAGGTCAGAAACTAGCTTTAGCCTCATCCAGGTTGGGAAAAATGTTTACGCTGCTAAGGCACAATCCAAATGGTCCAAAGAGGGAAATGCTGTGATTAAAATGGTTGCTACTGGTAGTATAAAATTCTAGCAGTTCAGTTACTCACACAGGGCTTTGCTTTTTCCCTTGAGAAGAATGGAAAATATTGTACTGATGGGTCACCAGATATTTTCCAGTCATTTCCATAGTTCCCAGATAGCTATTTGTCACTGATATAACTTTTTCGGAAAATGTTGTTTTAATGCAGCTTGTCATAATTAGGGAAACCTCTTATTCCTTCCCAGCATCTGCCTGGGAGCTTCCCCCGCTGTTGAGGCGAGCAGAAGTTTCCCACATATGACTCCTCAGTGGGATGATAGCGCTCTGACAGCTCACGGAGCAGCCAGGGTGCCTGTACCATCCCACAGTCAACCCTTGGTTTAGTTGTCCTGCTCTAAGGAGCACTGTCAGCTCCTTGACTTTTCAGATTTTGAAAGACAAGCATGGGAGCAGTTGAAAAAGCTGAACGCAGAGAGTGTTTGCCATTCCTGAGGACCTTGTCCAGGGAATGTTCTCCCCTCCTGTCCCCAGCCTAAGGAAATTCGGAAGGAGTGACTACCCTCAACTGCTCAACGCTGCATTGCTCTACGTGTGCCCGAGCCCGAGCTGGTGCCTGACAGGTCCAACTAGTGTTTGATAGCACTGGAGAGTCTCCCCTGGCTGAGCACCGAATGCAACAAGTAAGATAGTCGGGGATTCGTTTCTGGGTGCCCAAGCAGGCAGGCGTGACAAAGGAAACCGATTTGGGTGTGTTCTAAAACTGTTCTAAAACAGCTTTTTATGTTCTTTAGGCAAGAATCACAGTTAAAAAATTTTTGTTTTAAATCAAACTAATAAAAACGTCATAAGCTGTTACTTTCTGCATAGTCAAAATACTATGTTTTAAATGTCGTCTGATTAGTGCCTAATTGCAAGGGTTACAATAAGACAGTGTAACTGTGAAACGAGATGGATATTTGCATTCATAAGGCATGAGCCTGGTCTGTTAAAAACTAAGTATTCTCTTGGGCTTTTTAGAGGTAGTGTATTCTACCTTAGGAGAAAACTGTTACCTAAGTCAGACTGTGTTGTTCTGAATGTACAGTTTCCCCTTGCCTAGACAGAGGTTTTGAAGATTATATGGATTATTTGGCACTTTAAACTGGGAAATTTGCTTAATACACATCTAAGCTAAATTTGTTTCCTGACTACTCTTACTCTTGATTGCCAACATGAGAGTATCTGCTGTACCATTTCTGCTCCATGTCAAAGCTTGATTTAGGAATGTGATCTAAAACAAACACATCTGGTAAACTTATTTCCTGAAGAGGCATACCAAGAGGAGGGGCTGAAGGAGTGGCACTTTCCGTGTTGTTTTTGCTGCTTCCATGCAGTAGTCCGGAGAATCTGCAGAACCAAGAGAAGCCAATGACAAAATGAGTGAACAGGACTGGGTATGAGCATTCCTTTGTCTCAGCTGTCTGACTCAACCTTCCCTCCATCTGCTGCTGTATTGGATAGATGTCACCTCTTCCTGTGGCTGTCTGTTTTCATGTATGCTGTAGATATATTTATCTTCAGCTAAAAATACATTAAAAAAATGCAGCAGAGTACTGAGCCATCAGCCATCACTAAATTGTGCATAAAATGCATCAGATAGTATTTTGTTGTTGATCCAATGGCTCATGGTGCAAAAACTGCAATTATTTCACAATATTAATATGATGAGAATTATCAGTTGTTTATAAGAGATGACCGTCTCTTTGTCTTTAAGGAAAACTCTGATACACTTTAAAATACAAAGCTTGTATAATGAGCCTTTCTAAAAACTATGAGTTTAAGTGTGGGTTGTTTTGTTTTTTTTTTTAATCTATCCCTAATTATTTTCTATATCACAGCTGAGTACTGGAGACTAAGTAAAGTGAGAATATGGGTTAGGCATGCTTAAGGCATATTTAAAGGGTCTGATTTTTCAGCTGGTGAATGCTCAGCGTTTCTGGAAAATGGACGTCCAAACTCAACAGTTTCTGAAAATCTCAGACTGAGTCTCTCTAGGCTGCTTGCCCATGCAGAGCACGGTTGTGTTCCAAATGGTAGTACAATTGTCTTCTGTAACTGTATAGGATGCAGCATTAGAATTCATTATTATAGAAGATCTGATTTCCGACTGAAAAACAAAGTATTGTGTATAAACCTTATCAGCTCACTAACAAGCCTGGACCACATTTTACATGAGAGATCACAGCCCGTTCCTTGTCTTTGCCATGTAATAAGGCTTGTCAAAATAAAAAAAAAAACCTCTTCTGCTTTAAATATGATGCTATTCCCACTGTGAATTAGCCATTTTAGTACAAAATATTTAAACCAATAGATCTACCATGCTCTTCTGCTGATATAACTGCATCCATGTTACAGCATTTACCAGCATAAATGGATCAGAAAAAAAAAATTGCCTCCCTAATCATCACAGTTATTCTGCTAAGTGTTTTTTCCTTTGGTCTAGATACAGAGAGCAACTCTTTGTTCTGCTCAGCTGGGCGGTGCAGTAAGCCAGGAGGTATTGCTGAAAAAGACAGCTCTCCCCAGCCTTTGCTCCCAGCAAGGTTCACCTTTGCCCTCCCTTGAACAAAGTGTTTTTGTTGCTGTGTGCCATGACTCACTAGGAAAGAGGAAATAAGTGAATGCTATCCATTCCTGGCCACCTAATTGTTTTATGAACTCGTCCCCTGTCTCTCTTCCCACTAGGCCATGGCAAAATTACTCTGATTCTGGTTTTAATAGGTTTATTTCTTCTGTCAAGTTGCATTTATTGATATATAGCTGCCTCTTGCTACAATGAAGGAAGTAATAACTTTCCAGGTCCTGTTTCCTGTCATCGTACGTTGCCATTCATATAGAGAAATACCTATTCTGGGAACCAAAGTTTGCCACTCACCTCTTCATCATCCCACAAGACTGGGTTGGGCTGCTGTTGCTTCTGTTTGGTTCTCTGCTGTAGTAGTTCTCATATCCTATTGCATCTGCAACAGGGCGATAAAAATGAGATGTTCAAACAGGCAAAACTTCTCCCCACCAGAATGCAGCAGACAGTTGCAACCATCAACAGGGGCTGCTCCAGGTGCAACGCAGCACCTATCTGCACTCGCCTGTAACGTGGCTGGAGCAGCAGAGGCGGACCTGGGGACTGGACAAAAGCCATTCAAGTGATTGTAAGGAGATATGTCCTTGGTAGAAAGGCATGCTTGACCCGAGACGAGCACAGTCAAGGTCCTGAAGAACCATTCTAATAGCTGTGGCTAACCCTAATTAAGAAGGCAGTTTCCTCCATGACTGTTTCCTCTGTTGCCTTAAAGCTCAGGATTTAAGGGAGCAGAGCATGGTCATTGTGAGCCTGGGACCATGTTCTTGATACAATTGGCTGCAGTGTGTTTTGTTTCTTTTTTTCTTAATGTATTGAGTCAGGAATTTTTGTCGGAGCAGGGGAGATTTCTGAACATTATTGCCAGCAGCAATAATGAGCAATTTCCCAGTCTGTGCTTGTGCTTGAGTGTCTCCCTACCTTATCTCCCCCGTCCACCTCCTGAGAGCTGATTTGCTGTTTACCCAGAGATATTTGTTTTTTGTTCTCTCAAACACAGTTATGTTACAGTTCCTTCACTCTCCCCTATGGTGTCGTTAAGAGTGAAACTGAGACTATTTCCAAGTCTAGCTTTACAGATGAAATAGTTACAGATGGATTTATTTATTTTTCATCTCATAGCTCCCAGTGTAGTTGCTTAGAGCTGGTGGCCACACACTGCCTTCTCTGTGTTAAAGCCAAACAAACATGAGTGAAGTCTGTGATAGCGTATTATCTCAGTTCTGATACCAGCAAGTTGAGAAAGACTTGGGCTAAAGGTTATGTTGACATTCTCACATTGGGTCAGCCAAGATCATAAGCAGCGCAGGCATGTACAACTAGTGAGTGTGAAGAATCCTTACAAATAAGATTTTTCAATAATTAGGGACTTTTCTGACCAATTTAAGGGTCTCCTATTACCTTTCTAGATTGTCACCTTGGTATAGTTCCTAGTCTATAATGCATTGTAAGAGGAGAGGAGTGAGCAGTAGCATGAAGAAACCAAAAGGTTTGGTCAGGATGAAGCTCTCCTCTATACAATGCAAAACCACATGTGGATTTCTTCCTGCATTTTGCAAATAATAAAACAGATCAACAGCTCACCATGTGCTACTGTGCAAACTCATTAGCCAGAGCTGTGGAGATACTAGGACGTTACTTCCAGAACATGTCACCTTCTAGAAGGTGGCAAAAAAAAAAAACAAAAAACACTGACAAAAAAGCAAGTCAGTTGTTTCTTTGCCTTTCATAAAGCTCTGAAGCGTTTTTCCCCACCTAGTTCTTATTAGAAATGAGTCCTGACATAGCCAAGAGCTGTTTGCAGAAAATTGCCTAGGCGACTGGAGAATGAGAAATCTCACATAGGGAAGAAAAAAAAAAAAACCACCAAAAAAAAGAACTAGCTGAGAATTACAAATTTCTTAGTATACAGAAGTTGTTTCACACTGTTGCAAGGCACAGTTCTCCCTTCTGCCAGTGAAAATGTAGTTTTTCCTTGGTAAATGCTCTTATGTCAGTGAATTTAAATTCCCTATGTGAAGAAGAATAAACTGTAGCAGCAAAATGGCATCCAGTGCACCAGTATCAATATATTCGTTTAGAGAAATTCCCCAAATCCCAATTCTTAATAATCATAGGTGTAATGACAGAAAGGCTGAGTGAAAAACAGGCCTCGATTAGCTCAGTGCTGAGTTAGTGGCAGCATCCAGCTCTGCTGAAGAAGTTCCTAGGGTGTAATTGCTGCCAGCTCTGAGCTCTGCGATGAAATCAAAGGGGTGTAAGCTGTTCCTGTACGAGGTAGTTATCCCTTGCGACAGGGCATTCATACTGCTGGTATTTGTACCTATACAATTCCTAACATGGAAGGTTTTTATCAGTATAAAATTTTCTTATGCCGGTATAGTTTATTCCCCACTCTGAATGGAAGTAAGCTCTATTGATACTGCTGAGGGTGTACTAAGGGGATTTTCTCTTTGACGTAGCAGTATGGTGTTAAAGCAAAGAGTGGGAGTGAAACAGTATCTGTGCACAGATTAAAAAAAAACAAACATAAATGGAGGAAGAGATCTTTTCAGCATAGATGTGTATCATCAGCTAATCAAGATATGAAATAGGGATTTTTCTCTCCTTTTACAAAGGCTGTGAATCTTTGTTTACTGCAGCAGCTGCACAGAAGTGCAAGCATTCACTCAGTCTATAAATATCTTGTATTGCTTGTTGAAGTAAGAGGGTGTGGTTTGTATTTGGCCGTGTGAAACATTAGATAGCCTCCTTTCTGGTGATGTGTTTGGAGAACTACCCTGGAGCAGCATGTTTTCATTTTACAACTGCTCTTAGCTGTTGCTGTCCCAGTCTCCATTTCAGCCCAGAGGTTTTGATCATTGAAGTCTATGAAAAGGCTGCTTTGGCTTGAATGGACGGATTCTATGAACCTTACATTGTTTCTGCATGCTGGAACAAAGCCAATTTCATTCAAAATTTCCCCCAACTAGGGTCTTGCCCTTATACAAACAACTTCCTGAGAGGAAAAAGATGTTATTCCCCATTGGGTAGGTGGAACGAAACAGAATACAAAGTCTGGTCCTCTCTGTGCTGCAAATGAAGAGGCAGCGTCTCTGTCAAGGAGACACCAGGGTGCAGTTACACATTAAGTTGGCTCTGAGTTGTCACCAATGGAGGTTGCCATCTCTGCAAGGCAGTTTGCCACCTCCTTAGTGGTGTCAGTTCAGCTGTACTGTGAAACGAGCCTGGTTGAAAAGACAAAACAACTGTTTTTTTTCTGTTTTGGAGGGTTATTTTTAACCTGGATCGTTCAGCTATCCCACTTACAGAGGCGCACAAGGAGAGAGAGCAGCACAGTGAGGGGGAAGTGAGCCGCGGCAGGTAGGAATGAATAGCTGGAGCAGAAACTCCTCCAGCTGGCTTCACCTCCAAAGGACATGTACTGCATAACTGCAGGCTCAGCCTAATGGGTGACTCATCTGACAAGACCAATAGGAATAATTACCTGGAGGCTGTGTTCCTGTCATTTTAGTCTTAATGAAGTAGTCTATGTCTGACTCTACAACGCAGTTCTCCAAGCTTACCCGAACCTCTTCATATAGCTACAAAACAGAATCCAAGAATTGAATTTAATTTTTAACATTTCACATTGAATTAATGATTAATGCTCTTCTAATACTTTTCCCCTTAAGAGACATTTTATACTTGATACATGTCTGACCTGGATGGATCTTTGGCCTGTCCCCCGTACAAACATTCTTGTAAACACAATTGTTTATTTGTGCTCTGGATATTCTTTTAAGAAAGGCGGACAAAGGCAGTCGTTGCATTTTCAATGCAATAAAGAAATTAATAGCAGGAAACAATGGTCAAAGTCAAAACTAGTGTATTCTTTATGTCTTCCAATTTTGAGAACATGACTGGATGCCTTTCTGAAAGTTGTGCCTGAGCCCAAAGGTACTCGATTGAGCATTCTGGTAGCTGGAAGCATTCCCCAACAAACCGAGGGGAGGAGATATGTAAGTGTCACCAAGTGTGACACAGACCATCTACATCCAGGCTTATATCTGGTTTACATCTAGAGGGAACAAGCTAGACTGAGAATACTGTCCCCTCACTGAACATGCACAACAGCTGGTTTGCTGGAGACAGTCAGCATGCACAGAAAAGGGCAAGCTAGTGCTGCATTGTTAGAGCACTCTTGCTCCTTCTCTTCTTCCTCTGCATGTGAAGCTACTTGGCAGGTGCCCCTACCTCATCATCCTTCACACACTGCATGGAGAGCTGGTTGCAGTGAACCCACAGCGAGTTGCGGAGGATGGTGATGCGGTCGCACTCCTGGAGCTGGAAGACCTAAAGCCAAAGAGGAGATGTGATGTAGACTCATGGTAGTTATTTATTTGCATTGCAGTCAGCGAGAGGGCTGGGGCTCCTCTGGGCCAAGTTTGTAAGTCTGCAAACCGTTCTGAAGGATCCTTTGTAAAGGACGTCTTTTCAGCTACTAGAGGAACTACATCTATTTGTTCACGCTCAAGAATTTGTTTTAGTTGATTGCACCAAATTAAAGTTATGTTTTATAGGCAAAAATAAAGCAAGGGAGAGAAATCGGGATCTGGATTTGGCTGCTACCTCTACTGCCCAGGATTTCAGAGTCAGGTCCTGTCTGCCCATCGCACTGAAATCTTGATGTTTAACAGATCAGTAGAGTACTGACACGAAAGAGTTGTATTTATGTTAGAGGTAGAGCCGAAACTATCCATCTCTGCCTTCTAAAATGTCTTTCCAAAGTTTTCTCTTTTGAAACTCTTTGAGGCTCTCTGGAGTTGCCTCTGTTCATTTCTAAGGTTATTTTCATGGTAAAGAGAAGGCATTTTTCTTTCTTCAGAGTTTACTCCCTTCCTTCATCTGTCTGATTTTTCTCATGTTGTTGCACAGCTTGGGAAGAATGAAGGGCGAAGAGAGAGGAGACATGTGAAGTGAGTTAGGGGAAGAGGCAGATAAACTCTTTCCTTAAAAACACACACACAAAAAAAAAACAAACAAAAAAAAACCACAACCCCACAACAAAAAAAAAACCCACCCTGATGTCTAAGTTGTACTGTTGTAAGTAGAACATCAATTTTTGGTTTTCTATGAGGTGTGGAAAAGCTCAGATGCTTCCAGCCATCTGTTTCCATCTCCATTTGCTAGTAATCATGTCCGGAACACCACAAATGTATACAATATTCAGCAGAACGTTCAGCTGGGTACGCTGCCTGCCATCTAATACCTTACCATCTAAAAAACCCAGAAAAAAGAGTACATCAAGGGAGTCAGCTGGTGTTGGGACCAGTTTCTGAAAGAAAAAGCTTTTAAAGTGAACCTGAAGGGTGAAGAATGAGTATTTCAATATCGATTCCAAACAAAAAGCCTATGGCTGCAGCCTAGCCCCTCAGGGGCTGCTGAAATAGCACAAGAGCCAACTGGGAATTTTCCAGGTAAATGGCATCCTGTTGGGAAATGCAGCTCATCAAAGAGGGAAGTGTAGTGACTCTGGGCTTGTCAAGCTCTTTGCAAAGTACAGCTGGGCGTTGTGTTAGACACATCCCTCGTGCCCCATCAGCTTGTGCGACAGACTGCTAGTGAACCTGGGCATCTTATGCCAAGGAATATGGCACAAGCCCTGTGACGAAGGTCGTCCCAGTGCTGCCACTTGCTAGCCAAAATTTTCGGGCTATGCATCTCCACCACTCAGCTAGAGACCTTGGCACTTCCAGATTCCTCGCTATGCGGCCAGAAGTTTGGGATCGTAAGCTGCTTTTGTACTAGTTACTAGTTTTAAATGCCTCAAAAAAATCTATCAGTCCTTCTATTTACAAGCACTTTTAAAAGAAGGCATTAAAGATGCCCTTCCTTTGTGAATGGTTGTTTGAATTAAGCAGCGGGCAGGCCACAAGCTCTGTGAGCTATTCAGAATTTAGTCATGTGGGAGAAATGAAGTCTTTTAGGTTGTGGAACGCTTCGTTTGTTTGTTGGCTTTTTAAGAAGGGGGAAAATGTGCATCTTGGGAAAATTACTGCTTGGCACAATTTCTATGGAAGGTCTGCTCTGCCAGCCGTGGGACTTTCCAGTCCTCCCAGATAGGGAATATTTAAGAGGAAGCAAAGAACTGGAAAGCTAAGCTCCTGGCATTTTATTTTATGTGGAAATAAAGCCTGCAACAAGTAAACATAGCAAAATCATACTTAAGCAGATGGGCAAATGTATTTGAAAGATTAGTATGATCAAATATGTGGCTGATTTGGATGTCAACCAGTTCCTGTAAATTGTTGTGCAAAACTTACTAGCCAAGTGCAAATCTCCTTGTCCATCCTCAGCATAACAGAAATAGAGAATTTCCCACCACGACCTTTCAACTGAAAGGTTACTCCATGGCAGAAGGCAAATATTCTTGCAGGTGAATATAAAGTGCTATGCAAAATAAAGATTCTGAGTGGCTTGGATATCTTTGCCTTCAGAATGCTACAGTACATACTTTTTCAGCTTAGCAAGAAAATTTTATTTTTAATCTCTATTGAACTTGTGAGATTTAAAGAAAAAAAAAAAAACGCAAACACAAAAACCTCTCCTGCATTAGAACAAGAAGCCATTCTGGAAGCCTCTTGCAAAACATAATCTAAAGGGAATCTTTTGTTTGTTCGTTTTTAATGGATTACTTGAATTATTCTTGTTTCAATTTTGAAATTCATTTTTTAAACTAAAAATGAATTTTCGTGTCTACATTTATGTTCATTTTCTACTGAAATTACATTTTGTCACAAAGCAGTTATTTGAGAAACAACCTTATCTCAGCTATGATAGAAGATCGTTCCTAAAGCTAGTGCAAACTGTGGGTGAAAACTGGCAATAAATGCTTGCAAGTAGATTGTATCAGGTCATATATTGCTCCGCTTCTCACACCTCTGCACTTACTCCCCTCCTTTATATTTACACACATATGCTGAACAAGGAAGGAGAGTGTAAGCAAGTGAGACAGCTAGCAGCTATGTCTAAATCAACTCTCATTTTTGCAATATTTTTGCAAAGACATCTACTGAGACTCCACATAAAGCAAACAGCAAAACCCTTGGGATGGTATCTCAGGTCTTAGACTGATATCTGCAAATAGGATAAAATAAAGAGCGCACAAATATATCGCTGCAAAAGTCAATGTTTACCTCGCAGGTTTTGATATGTTCCTGTTCCCACTCTGTCCTGATCTTATCCAGGTGCTCAATGTTCTGTTTGTACACATTCTCTGTAAACACAGACATGCATAATAGAAACCCAACAGTTAGGAAAAAAAATTATACAGTCTTTCTCTTTTTCCTCCTATTAGGACTTTGCTGTGGTTCTTATACTTTAGGCCTATGGTTTGCTAGAGTATCACAAGAATGTGTGAGCTTGAAACTGGTGGGCCGCAAGTATATTTGTTGGTTTTGTCTTTGCAACTTTATACTAGAGTAAGGATTCTCTCTGCGTGGTTTGCAGATCATCTATAAACTTCACAGTGGGGCTAATGCAAATCAGAGATGGAGAGCCTGGACCATGCTTGGGCACTGAGCATCCTTAGGCTCTTTCCGTGCTGAGCCAGCCAGGTAAGCCATGTGATTTAGTGTAAACTTTTACATGAGCAGTGAGGGACAAGTCTAAACTCATGAACCAGCTCAGATGTCTGCTGGCCTATCCTTCTGGACATATACTGTGTTTCTGGCTGGAGAATGCTACCATGCTCATGTACAGGGAACCTGGAGACTGTGTATCTGGTTTGGGCTGGCTGGGGGCAATTTGAGTGTCATTCTTTTGTGCTTTCAAACTTGCTTCAAGACGAGCTTTTCTTTCCTGGGTGAAGTCCCTAAAGGAGGTCTTATAAATTCTTTAATGAAAGCAGGAGACTCGCATTTCCACAAAGGAAAGTAAATGAGATGACTGTCAGGTTGCTGTTCTTTAGAAGCTTCTTCATTAATCTTTGGGTAGGTGACTTTGGGAAACCTGACTTCAAACAGAGCCAGCCTGGATGATTTGGTGCTCTATCAAAATCAGTGTGCTGGTAGATCTTTGCTGAGAAAAATCTTAGTTCGGTTGCAAATAGAGCATCACCTGCTTCATTTGCTGCATCTCTGCATTGCTTGGCTTTGTTCTGACTCTGAAACAGGAAAAGAAACACCCCAAATTAATTTCTGACCATATTTTTTGCTGCCTGCTCCCTTTCCCCTTCTAGGGGTAAGGCTCAAACTTGCAAACACTTCTTGGCTGTCCTGCCTTTATGCACGGTTCTGTTGAATGTGTGCTATGGAGAAGAAGGGACCAGAATTTCACAGATGCAACCATAGGGCCACTGACTTCAAGGGAAATCTGGCAATTTACATCTTTCCATTCAGACATCTCTGCCATAGGAGCTCGGTGCTAGCGTGATCCAGCCTGAAGCTTGTGTCTGCTGGCTGAGTTGTTTTTTTTTTTCTCAAGTGTTTGATGTGCTTTTCTAATAGATATTTATAAGCAGAAATAAATGGCAGTTAAAATTCTTCATCTTCCAAGCTCCTCATGTAATACACGGATGAAAAGAACACAGCCTTTAAAATACTTTGCAAATGCCAGATTATTTCCCATAACAACTCAGAAGCCTAAAAGCAAAATTCACTCTAACTAGAACTTTTCTTTTTTAAAAACCTGCAGCTTTTAACAAATGAAAATACAGCTATTATTGACAGCGCTGTGCTCCCAGGTCTTTCTGCACAGATGGTTATGACAGTACATTAACGCACGGCTCTAGACATCAATATAACACATTCTTCCATTCTGCCCTTCAAGACAAGGCTCAGGTAGGGATTCTTATGACCATATTCCTCATCACAGCTGATTGGAAAATGTGTAGTAAGCTGGGAACATAAGCATCATTCTTATTTGCTTCCTGGCCCAAACTGTTTGCGAGTGCTGTGCGGAATTAAACAGCTGACATGTTTCTTGTGAGATGCCTCTGTGCATTTCAAATGTGCTGGCATGTGTATGGAAGTAATGGCAATGAAGCACCCCAGGATCCTTCTGCATGAAAGGAGCTGGGTCAGATTTTGTTGCCGTTGAAGTTGCTAAGTGTTCTGGCATAGTTTCAGTAGGGCCAGGATTTCATCCCCTCTTTACAGCTAAGCTAGAGGGTTTTGTTCATCAAAGATTAGCAAATGCTGGAAATAAAATGTAAAGTTCTGATGCTGTTTTTAGAGTCTCCATCCCCCCGCTCCTTGAGATGATTTTTGATCCTTTTTGCTTACACCGCGCTGATTTTTATCGAGCCAAAGGGAGTTCATTTATTTTGTTTTCTCCATCTGTTCCGCTGTAAAATGTTCCCATTAAAAGTTAGTGAATTGTCAGCTACAAGTATCAAGACGATGCAATGAAGGACTGCAGTGCCTTAATTTCCAATGATTTATTTTTGAGTTTGTAAATTTAGTTGAAATTAAATTAAACATAAGGAGAAAAATGTTGAGGAAAAATATGCATTTTAATGTAAGATACTATGCTTACTAAATGTAAGCGACCAGAAGGCAAAACTAACTACATGACATACTTCTGAGTTGTTTCTTTCTTTATGAATAATTTCAGAGAAAAATCTCATTCAGTTTCCTTTCAGGATTCATAGAGCAATTAGATCATAGCCTGGGATAAATTAGTTAGATAACTTAGTCCCTTCCCAGAATTTTTAAAAACCCTTGGCCTATCGCAGAACAATATCAGGGTTACCAAAGGAGTTTGTAAAGGAAGACCTCCTTGGGAAGGTGCTTTGTTTTAATTTTGATTCTAAGGGGTTAATTAGAAGGGAACATAGCCTCTGGCATCCCGCAGAATGGGTTGTTCAATTGTATACTCTTGTACCTTGAAAAGGAAAAAACCACAGTTTTCTCTCTAAATAGCACTGTCAGCTAAGGTACCTTTTCTGTTAGCTTGTGGTTGCCTGAAGCAGTTGTCCGTTCAAAGGACTGCTCAGCCTCATCCGCCTCCTTGCACTTCTGTCTGTAGGTCTTCTTTGACTGTATTGAAATGAAATCAAATGTGAGGATTTGGGTTACGGAACGAGGCTGGGTTGTCTCCAGCTTGATGTTCCAGGAATTTTCTGTTTTGCAGTCTGGGGGAGCAAATCAGTGCCCAAGTTTGGGCAATAGAAAAAATTCCCAATGACACCGTAAGGAGATAGACAAATAGAATTGAAAAATTGGGGTAGGGGCTGGCAGCAGTCCTCTTCTTGCAGTCCTGAAACTGTTTGCTTTCTACAATTGCAGCCAGCTCCGCGCAGGGGTGGTCAAGAATACACAGGCAGCGCTAGCACCATTGGTGCCTCAGGCGTCTGTCCTAGCTACAGTGTAGAGACAAAATGAGGAGCCCACATTCCCAGGGTGCCAGTGGGGATGGGTTGTCATTTCCACAGTGTGACTTGGAGCATCAGATGGCTGAAGTCAGTGTGTTGTCTTGCCCATTGCTCCAAGCTGTGAGACAGAGCCAGCACCCCATAGGTAACAGTCTCGGTGTAGTCCTCAGAAGCAAAAGAAATCCTTATTTGCACCAAAAGACCTCCCTGTCTTAGAGATTCACTTAGAACAACCACATTTAAATAAAAATTGCTAGTACAGTTCCACCTGGAGCACTGACGGGTCTGCAACTACTTTTCTTTAGAGGCAACTGCCCATTGGAAACCAAAACCAGCTGTCTGCAGTTCCTGTACCTGCAAGCTTTCCTGTTGGAGAGGTTTCCTCCTGTTTACAAAATTCCCTCACTGTTTTTAAAATTGTATTTACACAGACTGAAAAATTACATTTGCTCCTGTAAGTATCTTTGCCTAGAAAGACTAAAATCCTGTTTGACCTGGGGCATTGTTCATTCCACGTTAACTTTCTGAGTATTTGTTTTGGAGACGCTGCAGTGGGTGCGGCAGGGAAGATTAGCTTCCTCCTCGTAGCGGGAATCACATTCTCTCTCTCTCTCTCTCTCTCTCACACACACACTCTTGCACACTCACACATTCTTGACATTTCTTTAAATATAAGTACACGTGATACAGATTTCACCCCATCTCAAACAGGAGCCAGTTTGCATCAAGAAACCTGCACAAAACCTCCTTGCTTACCTCCATTGTTTTCTTATAATGGGACAACTTGCTCTTTTGCATGCGCTCCATTGCAGACTCATACTGTAAGAAACACACAGAAGTAAGCACTTCTTGCTTTGGACTTCTTCCTCTCCTTTTTAGTGGCAGGATTAGGAAAGCCATTGTCAGGGCCTTTCTATAAGCCACACGCCTGTGGGGAAAATGACTTCACTCTGCTTTTATAAATGGCAGGTTTTGAAGTGATACAGAGGGCATGAAAGTGCCAGGTAAAAAAATCATCCAAGATAATTCTGCTTCAGTGGTTTCCATTAATAGCAAAGAGGATGTAGGTCTTAATTTTCTTCCTCCCCCTTTTTTCTTTTCTTTTTCTTAAGGAGATTAAATAGCATAACACCCAGTCACAGTGCCCATCAGCTCTGCCAGCAGAGTTCCTTTGCTGGTTCAAGAGCTTGATCCCACATCTTTGCAGACCAAACCACTGTCTCACCCACATGAGCGAGGGTAGTTGTCCATTTTAAATACAGACAATTCCTGTGTAATTTATATTCCATTGCTTCTGGCAATATTATGCTTGATGCGATTTGATTTCCATATCATCATCTGGTCAGCGTTGGAAGGACAGTGCTCAGTTCTCTTTTTCGGCTTTAGTTATGATATGCCCAGCCTTATGTGACAGTGAGATATGCTCCTACTTGGCAGGGTATGGGTTTCTTCAGTGGGACTTTTGGTCCTTTAATCTTTATATTCTGCTCAAGCAAAACTCTGGGGCTACCCAGAGGCTTGCTTCACATTGGGCTAAATAGCACAGTCCTGATAGCAGCTACAGTGAAAAACAAATCACAGCATTTTGGGAGGTTACCAAAAATGCTGACACAACCTAGCATGTCTAATGTTGCCTTCCTCACAGCCACATGCTGGATGGAGAAAAAAGCTTGCCTAAGACTCCAAAGCAGTTTTACCCTTTTTTCCAGGCCCCTTTAGCTGTTTCCAGTTGAGTTATAGGCTTATTGTTTTCAACAGGAGAGAGCGCCTCTCCCTTTGCAAATCCTAGTGGCAAAGTGCTGGTGAGGATACAAATGCTAATGAACTAGGTGCATGCTGTCTGTCTTTATATGCCTTATTTGCTTCATCAGATTGCTGTGGACCTCAAATCTCAGGACTGGTTTTACCACTCTCATATTCAGAGTTCTCTGCTATTCCAAGTTCCTGTGTGTCAGGGTTGTAGACATAAGATTTTTGTGGCATTGGATACTGGTCAGATACTTTTTCAGTTGTTTAAAATTAGCAAAGAACTGGATATTGTATTTTACTCCTCCATCAACCAGTGCTTTCAGTGTTAAGTGACTATCCCATCTTTGTCTTCAATCCCATGGAACCAGAGAAGCTGTAAGAGTGACCACTGTTGTCTCTATTGAGAGCTACTTTTTCAAGGGACTTAAAGCTTGGTAAGATCATAGGGGATGAAATGGCCTTAAATATACTCAAATTTTTATTATACAACATCAATTAGATGCTATTTATTCCACGTAATTCAGCATATATCGGTGTTGCATTCAGCGTGATATTCATTTGCTTTTATGTTTTTGAATGTTTGTGTTACCCCTTTATTTTAGTGCATGTTGGAGATCATACAGGATCATACCAATGAAACCCAATTACCAAGGATATAAAAAAGAGAAAAGGAAGGATTAAGTTCTTAGAGGAATAATAATAGTATCTGCAGTTACACCAGAGAAAGTAAAAGTGACTAAAGCCTCTATCTCCTGAGTTCAGAGCACTACTTTATTTCCAGCTGGGATCAGAAAGAGATTTTCTTCCACAGTCTAGTATATGGAGTGAACAGGGCACACTGGACATATTTTATCATCTTTTGCAGTATTCACAGTCTATGGCTGGAGACAGGTCATCAGCATGGACCATTGACCCAATCTGTTTCAACATTTCTCTAGTTCCTCACCTTTTTTCTTTGCTCCTTCTGTCTTTCTCGGAACTCCTCTATTCCTTTCAGTTCATCCTTCAGCATTACTGCCAGCTGGATATGAGAGTTTCCAACACTTTCGATTTCTAAAGCAAATCAGAATTCATATACAGTCAGTGGAAAGGTCTTTAAATATGAAATCACATTTTTCAGGAGATGTTTCTGGGATGTGGCTTGTCACGAACAGGGCAGCCTTAAAAAAGGCCTCCCTATGTTTCTGCATGCACTGACATTGCCGAGGGTTCACACAACATGAGCAGGACTTATTGCAGGTCCTCTCAGTGCCTGCAAGTTGCATAGGCAAGACTCCTCACTGTAGTATTGGAGCACCCGCTCAGGGCAGCCCTGGCAAGTGCAGAGCCAGCTGCATTTCTTCATAGCCCCATTTACCCCAGCCACCCCTCTTCCTTCTGGGGCTGGAGGTCAGATGTTGTGGTGCAGAGGGAGGGAACAAGCTCTGACCTCCATCATCACCCTCTGTGTCCCTCCACTATGCTGCTGGATTGTCATTGCTCTTGGGAGCTGCTTGCCAGTTGTGTCCAGCCTTGCACAAATGTCATTAGATGAGGTTGCAAGCTGAGAATTTCCAAGGGTCAGCAAAGATGGATTGAATTTCAGAGCACCTGGCTGATGCTGTTTGAAGTGGCTGGTAACTTCTCTGCATTTGTCAGCTTTGGTGCCTCTGAAATGGAACCCTGCATTTTCCAGAAATGTTGAGCTCCCCCACCCAGGCTCTAAAAATACCTTAATTCACCAGCTGCTTTCCAAAGGATGTTTATACCTAAACAGGGGGTGCCAGTAGCCAGGTACGGTCTCCTATTGGCTATGATGGTGTTGCATTTTTTGTGCGTGAAAGGTTTTCGTTCAGCCTTGAGCACATTTAGAAAGCATGCTGTTTTCATGTCAGTGGTTTGCAGAAGAGGGAACAGAACTGATATTTTGTGACTTGATCCAGATAAAACTAACTTGAGGAACAAGCCATTTTATTTGCCACCAGAGAGTGGACCGAGTGCCCAGCCTTGGAGGACTCCCCGTGAGTATCCTTTCCCTCCACTCTCCATACTACAGACTGGGATAGAAAAGTTGGAAAGAGGCGGGGGGAAGAGGATGAAAGACCCCAGAGGGGACGAACACATTGTGTGCCTGACTTAGCCCAGGTCAGAAAGGAAGATGTAAATACTTACGTTGCTTAAGCCTCTCAAATGCTGCCTTCAGTGTGCTGTGAGGCAAAAACAAGTGCACTTTATTAGTATAGGCTTCTAAGGATGGGTTGTGAATCTAGAGGAAAAACTTTCCCTCAGAATCTCAAAGATTCACATAGAGATAAAACTCTTAATAGTCTTGTAATAAAAGTTGACCAAGCTAACAAGCACAATAGCATCAATCTGTTACCATCAGGAAATGCAATAAAATGCTCCATGAAGCAAGGAATTGCACTGCTCCTTACGTGCATCCCCTTTTTTTAATCCCACTGTATTTGTGACTGTGAATGTTAACAGACGTTTCTCTATTCTTGCACCTTATCAATGGATACAAGTCAACCGAGTGAAATAAAGACAGTCAAGGGGAATTGGGTTTTGGAGAACTAGTCTGAAAGGTAGAGCGAAACCAGCTCCACCCTCTGTGTTGAATGCAGCACCAGCAAATTATTCCTCCTCGGTCATCCGTGAAGCTATAGAGCAGCTCTGCTATGCAGCATCCTCCGTACTATGCTTTCCGAGCACCCCCATGTGGTACAGCTCGCTCTCCTTTAAAAGACTCACAAATGGTGCAGAGAACGTATGGAGGCTCTGAAACTCTGATTGCTCCCGGGGGGTTTCGACATACCAGAAGCACAGCATGAATAAACCATGCTGTGAAATCAGGCCTTGGTGCTGGGCTGTGAAGTACAGCATGGAGATGAGCAAAAAGAGGGGTTATGCTGCTTGTCCGGATGGACCTGCACAAGTGGTCCTACAATGTAGAGTTGCAGAACGGCATGAAAGGATAATGATAGATCACCTGATGTCCTGTTTTTTGGCAAGCCAGAGTCCATTTTAAGAAAGCAGCAAAGACACCAGCATAGAATTCATAGGAGAGGAAAGAGCATAGTCTGTAAGAGGCATTTTCAACTTAATAATTTGCTCTAACTCCTAGCTTGCAGGCTGACAGGCCATTTGTATACACAGAAGCCAGGGCTGTGGTGTGATTTGGAGGTTTTTCAGTTTTTTTAGTGTGCTGGTTTTGGCTGGGATAGAGTTAATTTTCTTCATAGTTGCTAGTATTGGCCTGTGTTTTGGATTTGTGGTGGTAACGGTGTTGATAACACAGGGATGTATTCAATACTCTGAGCAGTGCTTACACAGAGTCAAGGCCTTTTCTGCTTCTCACCCCACCCCACCAGTGAGGAGGCTGGGGGGGCACAAGAAGCTGGGAGGGGACAAGACGGCTGGGACAGCTGACTCCAACTGACTAAAGGGATATTCCATACCATATGGCGTCATGCTCAGCATATAAAGCTGAGGGAAGAAGAAGGAAGGGGGGATGTTCAGAGTGATGGCGTTTGTCTTCCCAAGTAACCGTTATGTGATGAAGCCCTGCTTTCCTGGAGATGGCTAACAAACTATGAATTCCTTGTTTTGCTTTGCTTGCATGCGTGGCTTTTGCTTTACTTATTAAACTGTCTTTATCTCAACCCATGAGTTTTCTCACTTTTACTCTTCTGATTCTCTCCCCCATCCCACCGGAGGGGAGTGAGCGAGCGGCTGTGTGGGGTTCAGTTGCCGGCTGGGGTTAAACCACGACATTTAGAAATCATCTCTTCAAGCCCCAGAGTGTGTTGTTCCCTGAAGGAAACAGTTCTGGGATCTCCATAGAGCCCTGGTCTACCCCAGGTGGGAGCCCAGGGGGAAAGCCTTTAATGAAGACCCTAAAATCTCCCTGGCTGAAGCCTGGCTACCAGGAGAGCCCAGAAGAGGATGCATATCACTTCCCAGCCATGTGCAACTGCAGATGGGTAGGGAAATCCTGCATCTCTTGGGCCATTTCAGGAGCCTTAAGAGACACATGAAGGATCCTAATTGCCCTGTGTTAATTTAGGCTGGACATCTGTTTCCTAATCAAAACTTGCTCTCCCAGTAGCAAGGCTGCCTTGCCAGGCATAAGAAAAATGCACAAGCGAGGGGAAAGGCTGGGCCTGTCCTCAGCGGTAACTGCCTTGCAATCCACTTCCAAATCTAAATTTGTAGAAATATGAGGAAAAGACTTTCAGCCAGAAAAGATGAGTATTGAGCTAACTGTTTGATTTTTTTTCAGCTTTCAACTAGATTTGTTGTGGTGAATCTCCTGAGATAAGTCAGGGAAAACATGTTAGACTGAGTATTTTTCAGTATTGTCCTAATAATACTTAAACGTGTTGAAGGTTCATTTTGCAAAAAATGAGTTTGGTGTGAAATTTTGATGGAAACTAAACTTTCACAACACAAAGGAAACAAACAGTATTCTTTCCAGCTAAGTTAATTAAAAGCTTGAAATTAAAAGACAAGTTGAATATCAGCAGCAGAGATAGCTTTTTTTCACCTAAAAGCTCTAACGGATTATTTTGAAAAATTAAATATATACAAGGAATAAAATTTGCTTTTTTAGTGTGGACTTTCCAACAGGAGGTGGGGAATATGCTAACAACTTCATGCCTGAAATAGGTAAATACTGGAATTTTAAAAAATAGAGGACACTTGCAAACTGCACATACTGTTTGCACGCTGTGTTGATCTATTGTTCCCAGAGATTTTTTTCCTTTGCTGTTGGTGATTCAGTTATGCAAAGACTGGCAAAATTGCTGTAGTGGATTCTGAAGAATAGCGCTTTCTCAGTACATATCAAGAACAAAGGCAATTTGCTGCTTTTTTAGTTTCCAGGCATCTGAGCTACCAGAGTAGTTCATGATCATAAGCCATATATGAAACTTTTCTCCTTTTTGCTGGCTCTCTGTAAGGACGAGTCTGTCTTCTGGTATAATAATGCATCTGGCTATGAGCTGGAGAGAGACCAGTTTGCCCCCTGCATGGTCTCTAATGGCCTTTTCAGAAAGCTCTGGCCTTTTGCTCCTTGTATGAATGATTTGTCCAGCCATTTCCCTAGCTGCTGACTGGGGCAAGGCCACAGTCCATAAGTAGACTGAAATAGACTTAAGCCATTTCCTTCCTTATTTTTATAATAATTTTCTAAAATCAGTGAATTGGATCCCTCATCCTTATGGGGCTTAAGGGAGCAGCAAATATGTCATTGTGCCAAGTTATGTGTGAGAGAGAATAAATAAATCAAATTTTGACCCATGGATCCATCAAGTATTCCTTTATGACTTCTGGGCTGCGGGGATGTGCTGCCTGGAGCAGCAGTGCTATAGATTAGCTCCTCGTTGCTGCTAGATGCTCTGATTATATCGGTGAAATATATCATTTCAGCGCTTTGGAGGGTTTAATGGAAGCAACTCGTGTAGCAGACATACAAGTTTTAATTTTGTCTGTTCTGTTTTGTATGTACAGTACCTATTACCTATTTCTTCTGGGTGGGTTTGACTTTCCAATAGGACTGATAAGGGCTTTATTCTGAAGCATCCAAAGTGGGGATATCTCACTCTCAGGAACACTTCAAAAGAGTGTTTTATCCTCTCAGTATATTATGCTGCTTAGCGTTGTGGTAGTAATTGATTTGTTTGTTTGTTCTGTGGCCAAATTGGAAAACCTGGGGCTGAAAATAATTCAAGCAAAACTGAAAATTTGCGATTTGCCTCTTCTCTTTTTTCTTTTTAATTTTTTTTTAATTGCTCGCTTCTGACATTTCCATGTAAATTCTGGAAGACTGTTAAACCACTCCAGCTAAAGTCGGAGCACCAGCCTTCCCTTTGGGCATCCCTATGTGGAGCCTCCTGCAGATGTCTCATTGAAAATAGGGTTGGACACAAATTTACCGTGCATGTTTGTTAAACGACTCCTCCTTGGACATTTAAAGATTCGATTTGTCAAAATGAATTTCTGGTGGAAACAGGATTGTCTTTGAATCCGGAATAACGGGGACCAGATAGAGCCTGTGCAACAGCCACTCTGCAGCAACTTCTGGTGATTTTTGCCATCTAGTGGCTAAAGTATTCTTACCATTTTCTGGGATACCGACCCTGGCTGCTGCCTTCACTAGCTGTAGTCTCCTGCTACTCGAGTACAGCGGAATTGAGCTGCTCTTGTAAAATATGCACGTTTCAGCGTTTGTTTTTTCAAGCGGAGGGGGAGAAGGAGAATAGCAGAGCTTTTAGAGGAACAAGGGAACCAAGGGGGGAAGCTCATTACAGAGCTCACCCATTGTTTAGCATTCTTGTTCTGTAGATTGCAAAATACTTTCAAAAGTGAACTTATCCAAGTTTACCCAGCACACCAAAGCTGGAAAAGCAACCCTGTCTCTGTAGGGCACTGACCACTAGTCCCTATGGCTCTCTGCTAACGGGATAAACATTTACAGAATCCATCCTTTGAGAGCTTGGTTTGATTTTTCTCCCAGCAGAACCTGCTTTCAATGCAGAAAATGCATCCTGTATTTGAGCAGAGGTGCTTTGTTTGGCACTCAACCACCATCGCAGTACAGGTATGAGGAGTAGTGGGGAACCACTGCATCTGATCATAAATCCATTTTACTCACTCACTGCAAAATTATCTTATAATTGGTTTGGGATGGGGACTCGATTGGAACAGCGTGGGATGACAGCACTTCAAAGTTAACTTCTCCTAGCTGCTCTCTGTGTTTGCTTTCTCTGTCTTCATTTTTGGACCTTGTTTTTGCTAGAGAACTGGGCTGTTGCTGGAGAGCAGGCTGCACTGGGCAGTGACACAAGGACCACCAGGAAATGTACTGTAGATAGGGCTCTGGTACCTTCTGCTTCACAGTCATGAAAAGCTGAATTTTATGGTACCAGAGATGTAATTAGCAGAGTTCTATCAGTGGCAGTGCTTAGATCACAGGTATAATCAACGTACACTGTTGCACTACACTCTCAACTGTGGGCTTGATGGTTTGGGCATTTTTTTTCAGTACTTTGCCTTTTCACTCAATTAGAGACTGGTTTAACTGAGTAATTCAGAGAGTCCCTTTACATCTTGTACACAGGAAGGTAAAACAGGCTCTTCTAACCGGAAAACCACAGCTCTTTTAAAATTTTCTTTCTTTTCTACCTTTGCTTGGCAAATATAAGTG